CATCAATGTCCAACAAAAAATGATTTGTGTCTTTGAGATAGGACGAGAATTTACATGGAAGGCTACTGATTATTACGTCAACGTAGCGGGAAAGTTGCTCCGTACAGTGCCAATGCCCGAAACAATGGGGCGTCCAGGACAGTTTTCTTTATGTATTTTGGGCAGCAAGTAGAACCTGCCAGGAACGGGACTGAGCGGGACGAGGGAGCGTACTGCCTTGTCGCCTAATTGATTAGCTTTTACGAGATCGTTGACGGTATCTTGGACAACTGCTTTAAACTCTTCAGTGGGATCATATTCTAGGTGCTTATAAAAAACCGGATTGTTAAGCTGTCTATGGGCTTCGCTTATATAATCCGTTTTATTCATTATAACAACGGCACCACCTTTGTCGGCTGGCTTTATCACGATATCACTGCGTTTAGCCAGTGATGAAATAGCTTTCCTTTCCTCAAATGAAATGTTTGATTTAAACGGCTTTTTCTTTTCGTAGGGTTTAAGCACGTCGCGTTGGACGGCTTCAATATACATATCTAGATATTTGTCACGTTGGGCCGGAGGGGTCCAACGGTTGTTGTTAAACACAACTGGCTGCCTGTCGCTAGTGGTCGGATGGTCATGGAAATATTCTCGTAGGCGCATGTTACGTGAAAAATTCTCTGAATCCTTAGCCAATTGAAAATCGTCATATCCACCAGTTGCAGGACAAAAGGTGAGGCCCCGTGACAAGATGCGGAGTTCGTCCCTATTTAGACTTACATGCGAAAGGTTAACTACGTTGGTGGACGGCGGCGTGCTATTATCCAGCTCAGGAAACGAGTTTGTCGGGACCGCCGTCATTACCTGTTTTGGGAAAAACGAGCGGTCCATGCCGTCACGGAGCAACTTTTTACATTTCTTGTCGTAAATCTCACTTTGCTTCTTCACTTTATACCTTTCCAATTCGGCAATCTCATGCATACTGAGGTCAGCCCTCGCGTACAGTTCTCGTTCCGTGTTTAGAGAGTCTTTTACAGCATGCTGGTAATGGTTTTGAACCGTGCGGGTAAGATCCAAAGAGGCTTTTGTAAGGATTTCATGCCATTGAGCGATATTTTTAGCGGACATAGGACTTGTGGCTGCTTTTATAGAAATACAAAATCCCCTGGGTGCAACACGAGCCGCTAAATATGCACTGAGGGTTGAAACATGCAGTTCGTTTCGGATGCGCTTTTCCACGGTTTTTCTCAACTTTAAGAAAGCATGGGAGGTATTCGCCTTTCTGGCACAAGGCTCACCTAGTCAGTTTGTCGCTTTGTTTTTCGGTCTTCGAGTCTTTCGGGGACTGGTCCGCGTAGTGCTTTGCGTTGCTGGTTGGGGCGGTCTAGGTCGTAGTCTGGTTCCTAGTGGACGCTGATCGGGTAGAGGGCCTGGTTGATTGGTTGGAGGGCTGGTTGGAGACACGGTAGCGGAAGCCAGCTGTTGCACTGAAGGGTTCAAGTCCGTTGTACCTTGCACGGGAGCAGGGAGGCTTAGGTGGTGGGTCGGTTGGTTCGATGACAGTCGAGTTCCTGGCGCAAGCGGCGCTGGTGGCGAAAGTTGTGATGCGGTTGCAGTTAGGGCAGGGAATTCACTGAGACTAGGAAAGTTTGAGCCATTGAGCGGCTGGCTTGCTGACCGCCGAGAGCGCAATGGCTCTATCGGCAGGCAAGAAGACGTGTCTTTCCAAAAAGAAGAAAACGCATTTGTTCTTCCAAAACACAGTCTCTGGAGATGCGTAGCTATTAACGCGACGCCCTCGAAGCTGGGATGGATGCCATCAGCAGCGAGAACGCGAGCGGAAGGCAACCATTCAAATCCATGGTCGATGAAGTACACGAACCTGGAACGCCGGCAGAAGTTTTGCAGTAGGCTATTGAAAGTGCAGGCCTCGCGATTGCAGTGACGAACAAGTCCATCATTTCGCTGGCCATAATGACGATTCGTAGCTCTCGGCAAGACCAGGCTGGCGTACACACGAGTGATACCTGGTCGTTCCTTGGCTATGATACCCGCGTTTATGTTTATCGATAACTTGCTCGCAGTTGTACCTATGACGTGTATTGATGTTTGTGCCAGTGATACACACGTTATGTGGCTTCATAATTTTTTACTCATTGTTAATGATTTTTTATTCGTTTCGTCTTCGCACGCTTGTATTCTTATTTTTTTTCTTGTCTTATCACGCGCACTGTGTCCCACGTGCTTTTAACAACCGCTTGTCAGCCATTAACAGCGCTATAATACGTTACTGGCCTTTTTATATTGCGTTACCGTCCCATGTTCACATCACTCCGACGAAGGCCGGTCCCGCGACCGAAACGTCAGTCCTTTACAAAACAATTTTTCCTACGTGCTTAATTTTTTTTGAACTTTTACTTCCGGGTCCTATGTTAGCACTTCATTGTTATATATATATATATATATATAGTTCTCCTGGCCGTCTCAATATTGGTATCAATACCAAATTGGTATGGAATAACATGACTGTGAGACGACCATAACTGTCTAGCGATAACATGACTATCACGGCAGGTGTGCGACGAATGTCATAATTAACATTTCATAATATTGCTGCTCTTGCGCTGGTTTCGTTTACATGGCATTTTGGCAAACTGGTATGGCATGACATGACTGCATAGCAAATAAGTTACAGACCTTTAAGTCAAAATCATGACATGCAATTCATGATTTTTATGTTATGGCTAGTCATGACTACACACTACGCTCATAGTGCGCTCATGGTCATTTCGATAGCTTCACGTATATGAGATATGGTATCACGGGACGTAAATGAATGACGAAGGTGCATGATTGGTGCAAACATGATAATCATGAGATGCCTTTCATGTAAAACATGACTGCATGCTACGCTCACAGCATGCTCGCGGCCCTTTCGCTAGCTCCACATATGCAATATTTGGTTTCGCGTGACGTGAATAGACGACGAAGGTAAATGACACGTCTAAACATCTTATTCATGATATGCGCGTCATGTAAAACATGACTATATGCTACGCTCACAACGTGCTCGCGGCCGTTTCGCTAGCTCCTCATATGCTAAATTCGGTTTTACGGTGACGCGAACAGACGATGAGAGTAAAGGAACATCTAAACATAATAGATAGGACACAAAAATAATGTATGGCATGATTTAATAATTTACGTTTACTTCGTAACGTTGTGCTAAATTTAAATTAACATATCAATCTTCTTCATTATTTCCTTGCATATTGTTGACCCCCACAGTAAGTGGGATCTGCCAAATATTTTTTAAGTAATCTACGCTAGCAAAAACGTGTCTGTTTTTCAGCACTGTATAAGCCTGACATGTATTTCTGACTTCACTAAGCCCTATTTGTTCCCATTGTAATAAGGTTTGCAGCGCAAGCACAGAAGTGCTCGAAGAAAAGCGAACAGAGAATGAGGAACGGAAGCCAAAAATGACAACACGAACACCTACTAGACCAAATAGCCGTCCTTCGTCTATTGAACACCCTCTATTTCTTCGATTAGTACAGCAGGACTAGCTTCATTAGACAGCGTTTTAGATAGCGTTGCAGCGTTGAAGGCAGGATAATGTCTTCTTAAGACTATGACTACTTAGGAATATGTCTACTAAGGACAAGTTGTAACCGTGGAGCCAAACGAATAGAGTAAAATAACTAGAAGAATATTATTTGGATAGTTCACATTCAGCAAGCATTTGGAAATCATGAATGGTAATCTGCCACTAATCCTCAAAAGTAATGTATGTGATAACTGCATCTTGCAAGTACTTACCTACAGAGCAGAATTCTGAAGGCTTACAAAGAAGGTTTAACTTAAATTGATGACGACGCAGCGAGTGATGGAAAGGAAAATGATAGGTGTAAAGGTAAGAAACAAAAGAGAGCAGAGCGGATCAGGCAACAAATAGAGGTTAAGGATAATAGAGCTAAAGAAATGCACATCAACTGGGCTCGTCGCGTGTAGACTGAATAACCGCTGGTCAATAAGGGTAACTATCTGGATTCCTAGAGAAGGCAAACGCACGAAGTAGTTGGGCTAGTGAGACTAATAAGTTATGTGGGCTAGTGAGAACAAAAGATCGCAGGTATAACGTGGAAACGGAAAGAACAAGACCAGGTTAGTTGGTGGATCATGCGAAAGGCCTTTGCTCTGTAGTGGGCGTAAGCAGGTTGATTATGACGATGATAATGATGATGTAATGACAATGTAAAAATATATATTGCTAAGTACATTTCCACTGCAACAAAAAACCAACTAGCCTGCACGGACGCAACAGTGTCACTGCAAAAGATAAAAGAGTGCACTTCTTAGAGCGTTTTGTACATTATTTAGCTATTTGATAGAAGCACATTTGAAGACTACATACTCTGTCCTAAATTAGATTTCTGTAGATAATTAGGGATCTACTAGGTCATTCTTCACCATTCTTCAGAGAAGCGTGGCTTCTGCGACACAATTACAGAAAATTTTGGGCAAAAACTTTATGATGTGGCTGACATGAATAGAAGTTATTCCTAATGCGATTGTAAAGGGTTGGAGCGTTTGATTGTCTGCTCATAACGCGATACAAGTTATCACACATTACGGCGACTCCTTTCCGAACATGGAGCCTGCCTAGGGTTAGCTTGCAGAAGAGTTTCAAAGATTGGTGTAGCACAGTGCTAAAAAAGTGGCGTAACAAGCAGTACAGCGGCTCTTGAAATTAAGCCACCGCGGTAGTGCGCAACAACTAGACCGCGAGTAACTAAGAAAACAACAGAGAATATTGACTCTGTGTTGGCTCTCTCTGTCACATCATTGCTTCATGTTGTTTGTTTAATTACTTTTGTGATCACGGATAATTATAGTGCAATGACCCTTATTGTGATCTTGTAACGTATTATGCAATAAACATTGCGCCAACACTTCAAATATTTTGAAAGTCAGTCATATCAGGAACTCTATCACATGTTTTTCATTTATTTTTGCAGGTGATACTAACACATGCGGGACTAAACAAATGCGAACGCCTGCAGGGCTCGTGAGTGTAGTCTACTGTATTGCATTTCATAAATAGATGCCAAAACTGATGTATAGAGGGCCCGTAAACAGTAACACTCTTTTCGTATTTTTGCCTAATGTTATGAGCGCAAGCATACAACGCTCTATGTGTGTCTCACGCCATGATGTGACAATGACGAACTTTAGCGCCGAGTACGTGCGCGCTCGAGTAGCTGCGAAGAATAAACAAACAAGTCAGGCAGTCTCTTGCTGGTCTTTTATTTATTTTTTTATTATTTCCGCATCTTCAGGGCCCGAAGGCGTTACAGAAGGAAGTTGGTAAAAGTATACATAATATGTAAAATAACAGTTAACAAAGAAAAGTTCTGCTAACAGTAAACATCGCATTCAACGACAGCCTTAAAAGCAGCGACATCGGTCAATCGGACAACAGAGGAGGGTAGGTGGTTTCATTCGTTCGAGGTAGTGGGAATAAAGTAATCGTGAACGAACTTGGTATTTGAGAATGGAATGTATACTTTGTGGAAATGGTCGCATCTGTATGACATGTAACGTGGTTTGGAAAGAAGATCATGTTTTAGTTGTGTCTTGTGTAAAATTTTATCAAAAAGAATAAGCCAGGACACCATCCCGCACGAACAAAGAAGTGGAAGGCCCGAAACTGTTTTCGTAGAAGATACACTGAATATGCGTGCATAGTCTGAGAGGATGAAACGAGCTCTGTCATTTTAAACGAATTCTAATGTTTCAAACAGGGTGTTAGTGCCGGTATTTCGTACAGCGCTTGGATACTAGAACTTGGGACGAACAAGAGTTTTATATAGAATCACTTTAGGACTTGAAGGAACCCTTGAAAAGTGTCTTCGTAGGTAGCCAAGAGTGCGATTGGCATATTTAGGTACGTTGGTGACATGAGTGTGCCATGAGAGATATGAGGTACATTTTACACCAAGGTACTTGTCGCATAAAACACTTTCTAAGACACTGTCGTTATTTAGGTATTCAGGAACATCAGTAGAACTACAGGTGCGAGAAACTCGCATTACCCTGCATATATTAGCGTTAAGTCGCATGTTTCATCTAGTGCATCAGGAAGAGAATTCATTAGGATCTTGTGAACTGTTTGCACGTCTGTAATACTCCACCTGAGAACCCATGTATATTACACGGCCACAACAGCACGTCACACTTAAAGGGGCCCTCTAACGCTTGAAAACATCGGTGCCGTCTGCATAACTCGGAGTGGTGCTCGTAAGAACTATTGCGAGCGAAAATCACGCCGGAAAGTTGCTGCCACACGGTAAGATAGATGTAACGGTAAATGTGATCGTGGAATTGCATCAAATTAGGGTTTACTATTGTATTTATATTTTATTAGCAAAATTTTTCACTCAAAGTGACAGAGAATAGAGCTCTCCAAATTCTCCAGCTTGAAAACTGCAAAGCTGGTTAAGGAATGCGCAGAATGCCATGTGCTGGACAAAACGCGCCGGTGATGCTCCGGCTGCTTCGGCTTTTTGAACAAACTGAAAAAAACGTAAGAACGTTGATATACATATATATATATATATATATATATATATATATATATATATATATATATATATATATATATATATATATATGTGTGTGTGTGTGTGTGTGTGTGTGTGTGTAACGTAAGAATGTAGTGAAGGTTGGTAGAAGCTCAGAACGAAGAAGTGCTTTGAAATAAACATGGCGTATGGGCCAGACCACGTCGCCCATTCATCGTAGCTTCACACGAGCGTCACACGAGCCGACAGGATGGAGACCTGCCTGCCCAATCATCAGACGCTCATCATCGACGAAGTTCCCCACAAGACGTCCTGACCATACATCGACTACCGAATCATCTCCAACCAGGGCACAACGAGCAGCACCATGACAGATTCATCGGCCTACTTTGACATCTCCAAGTACATCGGGGCAGCAAACGATGGACCCGTGCAGGACTGGTTCTACCTGTTTGAGATCCACGCTACCACTGCATCATGGTCGGAACGGAAGATGATCACTGACTACGTTTCTAGTGAGGTATTTAGGTTTAACGTCACACTCCCCTATCGGAAAAAAACGAATGGTGGGCATGGTGGAAACCACTACCCACCATTATAGTGCATTAAGGTAGTGGGTGAATGGTGGGAAACGCCCACCATGGCGCATGGTGGGTATGGTGGGTGCTGCAGTGCCGGCAACACTTGAGCGCGAAATGACGTCAGAATCACCGTGACGAGCTGCCACAAAAAACAAAAAAAAATTCTATAAAAACGATATAAAAAACACCCGTATCGTAAAAAAAACAAGGCGCCACGGAGGATCGAACGTGCAACCTGCAGATCCCCATTCGAAGACGCTAACCACTGCGCCACACCAACATGACGTTGATTGCGTGTTAAATACTTAGTTGCCATACAAACTCAAGGTTCAACTTGGTTATGTTTGTCGTGTACACAACATAGACAAGATATACACCTGCTACTAAATATTGCACATTTATTAAACACAAGCAACTGCGGCCTGTAACGATTGCCACTATGTTAATGACACTAGTGCTATTTTTTGCAATTCACAACTTCAAGCAAAAAAAAAGCCAAGTGGACTGGGGAGCAGCGACAGTTTACCGGCGGGGTCTGCCTAGTTTAATATCCGTTTCGCGCTCGTTCTAAAGGGCGACATATGCTCACGCTTTATGACGCTTCTAGGCTCATTCCATAGATACGCCCGTTTAATTTATTTGATTGAGTATTGGGATGCTTTTCGCGCATTGTAGAGGGCGGTCGCGCCAGCGCAATGCTGTAGCTCTTTCGCTAAAACACCAACTACATAACGGCTTAGCCAACACGAATGCAGTGTGCCAGAAACATTACGCTATCATATTGGTTCACCAAGCACACGAATCGCCACGTCTGAGTTCTCGTACAAAAGCTAGAGAAGTGCCGGCGAGTGTGACCGGCGGCTGTTGGTGAGAAGACACTTAATTACGTTCTCTGGGAGTGCTTTAATCGCGTCACATCGATGTTTGTTGCTTCTTGAGCGGACACCATACACAATGAAAAATACTTTATTTAGGTTAATTGATGCCATATGGCTGCGCTGTATTGTCATACTTAATCGTCGTAATCATGTATTCTGAAACCCGGAAGCACGGATAACACAATTGTACGGGCTCGGTCAGTAGGCCTAACCTTTGGTGGAAATCATGGTGGTAGAACATGTAGTGTACAGATCCCAGCTTTGTACACTATATAAATTGCACGCCATTATAAGCCCACCCATCATCTGCTTACTGCTTCCCAGCATTATCGCGATGGTGGGCAGAGCTTCTCAGCTTGGTACACCATGTGGCCCACCATAACAAGCAGCACCCATCATCTGCTTAGTGCTTCCCAGCATTATCGCAACGGTGGGAAGAGTTTCTCAACTTGGTACACCATGTAGCCCACCATAATAAGCACCACCCACCATATGCTTAGGGCTTCCCAGCATTATCGCAATGGTGGGCAGAGTGTCTCATTATTGCCCACTATCTAGCATCTGCTTTCCACCATCATTTCCACTTTACCCATCATCTGTACACCATACCACCCAGTATGTCCCAGCATAACCACCATGTTTTCCACTACGTCCCACCATAGCCATCATAATTTCCACCATGCCCACTATTATTTCCACCATGCCCACTATTATTTCCACCATGCCCACTATTATTTCCACTACTCCCACCATGTTTTCCAGTATCCACCATGGCAATTTTTCCGATAGGGTCATATTCGAAAACGACGAATGTAGGCAAAAGATCATAGAAGAGATGATTGCCCGTTTTAGCGACTACGACAAGGACTTCCTCATTACCGACCACCTGCAAAAAAGAACACTCGGCCGTCATAGTCCATGCTGATTTTTCAAGGAACATAGCTTTCCACCAGGTTTCTCTTCGCAAGAGCCGGTTTTTTTAAAGTTGTCGCTCCAGCACACGACAAGAGACGTTGCTTACCCACCTAATGCACTTCATTCTTCGTCTTTCGCACGTGGTCTACCACCCGGGTTTCAATCACGCGGCTTTTCAAGCGCTCCTGACGTTAATCGTTTGTCTCACAAGGACGCCGTGTTCACAATAGACGAGCTGATGCACCGGGAAATACGCTGTCGAGCCATGCTCCTTCCGCACGGGTTCATGCATCGCCGTCCGGTGCATACACATTCGACAGTCGGAGCAACACGGAAGGCTCAGACGCATCGAACATCACACGCTGCAATGCGCAAGAGCCTCTCGTAGTGAACAGGGTAGAAGAAGCTTTCGAAGAACTTTCTACCAACTCTGAAGTATTACCTTCATTGCCCGAACTACATGACAGCAGCCCGCAGACTACCAGCTGCGGACTGGGCACCACATAAATTTGTCAAGAAAACCAGCGCGATGTTCCAGAAAGGAATCCCGCTGCAATACGTTACACAGCAACGCCAGCAAAAGCAAGTCCAAGAATCGCAAATACTTAACGGATACACCGACAAGGACGACGAAGCAAAGCACGCCTCTTAAAACAAATTCAAGACGTGAGGCATCTTCGCATAAGAGATAGGCACCAGAAACGCATTTGGTGCAAGAGATCAAGACGGCACCTACGATTACAGCTCCGAAACTACCGAAAACGACGGAAGAGACAAAAAAGCATGATCTATAGAACGCAGAGACCAAGACACCAATCCGTCAGCCACTACCATCGCACTCGCAAATTGGAGTCTGTTCCAGCCACGACACACAATCGACACCTTCGACATCCGAACCTGAAATACTACAGGGACTCCCAACCTTATCCGTTGCTCACAAGAACTCAACTGATGTCATCACCAGTGCATATCTCCAGGATGTGGTTATGTTATCCAGGACGCAATAGCGAGCCTCATCCACCCGAGTTCTCTTAGTTATGGCCGGACTGCTTCCCTCTGCTGTGTATTTTTCGTGCGAGTTAAGGAACTCCTATCTGAAATGAAACTACG